ACAAAAAATGAAAGTTAATTTCGAAATCTTAATGCTTGCTGAGGGTTAGAAGTTTATTAATTAGAGAGATATTCGGTAATTAGAGAGAGATTTGAATCCCCTTAATTTAATGGCATGTCGCGCAGTTAAAGAGGTGAGAGAACTACATGATTTTTATATTAAAAACAAGAATAAAAAAAGGATGGAATTAGTTTAATTAAGGCATATTTCATGCAAAGGCTTCTGCATTTTGAACTCGGAGGATTCGTCAAAATATATATTAGTCATTTAAGAATAATTGAAGTGTATATGAAAAATATGTCAACAGAAATCTAACAGTGGCTAGGAAGATGACATGACAGGTGAGGGCCCACCAGGAGAAAAGGAGAAAACCCCATGGGTCCCCATCTGACTAGATCAGCCAATTCTATTGTCAGGCGACAACTGATGACCCGTCCAAAGGGTATGCTAGCAAAATCTCTGCACTACTTATTCAGCGAAAGCCATAATAAAGGCCAGCCGGATAGCTATAGCCACCCGAACGTATGACTAGTGGTTTGCACTATTCAATAGACCAACTAACGAGGGTTGTTTGGGTTATACATCTAGCGAAACGCCCTTTTAGGCTTTCGCTCTTATTAATGTCTATTACCTAAAATACACCCTTTTAGTCAGGTAAGGAAGTTTACAAGCTTCATAATCAAACATTTTAAACGGAAAGAAAACTAAGTAACTAATCTTCTGTCAAGGAACATATGCTTTGGAGAAAAGATGCCACGAAAAATTTTTTAACTAAGAATATAAGAGCTAGAGATAATAGAGGTAGAAGCTGAGGGTATAAAAACTTAGATGGATCCCTACATCCACTCCCTAAGAATGGGAAAGATCTTCGAGGAAGTAACAGATCCTTGGAGGTTCAAGTTTAAAGCTGCCCTGTACCTCTTTATTGGAGATAGACTGTTCCAAAAGTCAACCACTTTTTTTGCTCTTGAGGTGTGTGAAAGAAGATGTAGTGGAAGAAATCCTCCAGAAGGTGCATTTTGGCGAATGTGGCAGCCATTCAGAAAGACTTTAGCACAATGTAGCCAGAGGCAAGGCTATTTCTAACTGATCCTCATAAAGAACTCACAAGAATTCTCTCAAAGGTGCGAGCAAAGCCAAAATTCTGCCCCATTACATCACCAACCGGCCCGAAAGCTATAACTAAATATTAGTCCCAAACTTTTCTTTATTTTGGGGCTTGATATCTCTATGTTCCCCCTCAAAGAGGCATCATAAATTTCTCTTGCCACCGTAGATTCCCCCTCAAAGAGGCATCATAAATTTCTCTTGCCACCGTAGATTATTTTTCTAAGTGGATATAAATTAAAGCTCTCGCTCAAATTACCGCAGAAGTCATTTGGATTTTGATCTAGACATACATGATCTAGATAGACCTTTAATACTCATCATCGATAATGGGACTCAATTGGTAAATCAAGGGATGAGATATTTTTTTTCAAAATTAAGGAATCAACATCAAACTCGTGTTTGTACATCACCATCAGCAAATGACCTAGTGGAGGCGGAAAATAAGATCATGATAATCTTCTTAGAAAGAAATTTGAAGGAGGTAAAGGCAATAGGACATACTTGCTCCAGTCGGTCCTAAGGGCTATATGAACCACTCCATCATCAACGATCAAACGAACACTTTACATGCTTTCTCATAGAATGAAAGTAATGTTGTCAGTCGAGTACAATCATTATAACCAAAGGGTCATCACTACAACGTCTTTCGATGAAGAGAATCTCACCGACTGGTAAGATGCTAGTGGTGAAGGAGCAGTGCTCGCCCTCAATAAGCTAGATGAAGCTCAAACCAATGCGGCTCTTCGACAGAAAGAGATAAAGAGAAGAACGACTTGATACAACAACAAGAATGTCCAAGAAAGGACATTCTCACCAGGTGACATGGTTCTAAAGAAAGTTGATCTAACCACGCATGGGAAGACGGTCGACAAGCTCGATTAGACTTGGATCGGCCCCTTCATCGTTTAACAAGTTGAAATCATATGCTAGGAAAAAGATTCGCCAAATGTGGAGTGAAGATGATCTTAAATTTTTTTTCCTTGAAAGAAACTGATTTTTACCTCTGTATGAGAAAAATAATTTTACTTTACTTCATATAAACTTTTATTTTATAACAAAAAATTAATTGTGGTGTTGTAAACCTAAACTTAAAACAACACTCAGAGAATCAAAAGTTTGTTGGAATTCACATTAAAGTGAGACTCAAGGGACTGGATTGCCCAAAAAAAAAAAAGACAGTCAAAAGTAATGTTTCAACGCTCGGTCACATTAAAAGTAAGACGACCACACGAAGAATTTTGACACTTGGTCATGAAAATATAGATGACCACACAAAGTGATCCGACGTTCAGTCGCATAACTTAAAGCTTCAAAATTTTTCCATTTTCATTGGTCAATAACTTGATCCCTAAGTAGTTTATTGACCTTCGTTTCTTTCCAGTCGCAATAAAGCTCCCCAAAGGGAATTAAGAAAACCACCCAAAAAACCATAATGGAATACTCCTCTGCGAGGCTTTTGGGTCCAGTTAAGCAAGACTTAGATCCGCCAATGAATTGACATCTAGGCGACTCATGAAAATCTGAAGCAACGGATTGAGGCACCATGTTGTTCGGCCGGTTTGCAGGAATGAAGTTAACTATCAAAGATCAAGATTTAAGATGAATGAATTTCGTAAAAAAATGAAAAGACGACAAAAAGGCTTAGTTCAACTAAATAAAAAATGACCAAAAAGTCATATTTCATTCATGTATTCATTTAATACAAAACTATTGTGTATAACATTTTGATTACATGTAAAGAAAGAAAACAAAGAGAGTCTGAGTCTAAGGATCTTCGGGTTGAGTGTTTGAAGAACCTCTATCTACCACATTATCATCCTTAAATTCGTTTCACATTTTAGACACATAAGTGGCATCAAAAAGCTTTTTAAACTCATTAATATCAGAATACTTGCGGTCAACCATCCTCACTCTCACAAATTCATAAATTGCTATTTTTTACCCTCCTTCAAACATTCAACCAGTGTATCAAGGAGCTCTTCAACGATTGTCATAGTGTATATTCGCTTGGTTAAGTCAACATTTTCCTCTTGGATCACATATATCCACTCAGGCACTATCTCCAGCTCTACTCTCGCATCCCTCAGCTCAACCTCGGCCTTGGTCACCCTCATTGTCACCAGCTCCGCTCGCTCTCGGTATCCTTTGGCCTTCACCTCAAATTTTGCAACTCCCCCCCTCATGGTCAGGTAGAGTAAGGTCAAATGATGGGTCGAAGCGTAGCCGAGAAGTTGGAAGCATTTGATTGATTGACATTATTCGACTGGTTGGAGGTTATCCAGATGTTTCTCTAGGCTAGCCAGCCATAAAATATCTGCAGTGGTGCAGGCATACCAACCGACTCAAAGTTCAATGAGAACCAATCCTTCCCAAAGTTTATTAGATCGAGGCTAGAATACAAATTAATGTAAACCTTCAATCTCCTTTTCTACAATGAGATCCAACAGTCCTAACCTCTCTTCTTAGTTCCTGGGGGCGTGGGAAGAAAAGAATCAGATTTCAAAAGCTACAACCCCACCTTTCGGTCCGCACTCCACTTTCTCAACTAACTCAAGACTCCCATCTCAACTTTCCTCTGAATCTTCTTCCTTGGCTGGTTCGCTCGGTGCCAAGGAGATTGAAGAGATTGTTAGCTTGCCTTGCTCTCTCTAACAGGGGAGTGAAACTAGAAGTTCAAATTCGGGAAACCTCTTGTGTGGAAGGGTGCTATGAGTACTCCCTGGTCTCTAGTTGAAAGGAAGAATGATAATTGAAAGAAGGAACGAGTCAGCTTATCTCGATGTTGGCCCCTTGAATCACCTATAAGGGTGCTATGAGTACTCCCTGGTCTCTAGTTGAAGGGAAGAATGATAATTGAAAGAAAGAATGAGCCAGCTTATCTCGATGTTGGCCCCTTGAATCACCTATATTTACTAGAGCAGGTTTCCATTCGATTAGAATTAGCTCACCAATAACCTTATCTTAAATAATTACTGAGGTTTTGGAGGTTGAATGTCTTAGATCCGAACCTAGAATTATGCCCCTTATCAGATCACCTTCCTCCGTTTACTTGTACATCCATCTTAGAGAAGAGCAACCTGCTCTCTTTCCTTTCCTCGACTCCTTCTTTGAGAGCGAGGTAGCTTTATCCAGCTGCCTCTTCTCTTCTGCCTCATTAGAGGCAATCCACAATTTTTCTATAAAAAAATATTAAATAGAGCAAAAAAATTATAAGTTAATCAACAATCAACATCTTTCAATAAAAGAAAGATTACAAAGCATTTTATTTATTTTTCTTTATTAAATGTTCAATTATTAAAAATTAAATATTCAAATAAAATTTTTCGTGAACATCCATGTGACTCAAATTTTAGAGCATCCACCTAAGTTTATATATATATATATATATATATAGGCTAGAGCTATGATCCAAGCCCCCCGTCCACCCTATATGTCTCAACAACCACTCGATTGATCCACAGTGATATCAACCCCCCGACCCCAACAAACTTAAAACTGACATATCAAATACCAACCAATTGAGTTATGTAGTTAAACTCTAATGACGATTACGTTAAGAAATTAATAATTATATATATATAATTAATCAACTATTCTAATTTCCATTCCTCCAATTTTCGATTGTACTAACATCATTATAGCAAATCACCGTTATTTTAAAAATAAACATTCTCTATTAGTCACAAAATGCATGAAAAAAATACATGAAAAAGTGAATTCATGCATGACTGCGCATATACTGCATCAATTATCGTGCAATGTTTTTTATTTTAACCATGCATTGTGAGTGGCTTGATCACTGGTAAAAAAATATACCAGCAAACTAGCCCTAATTACAGCAGAGCATAAATAATGCGAACCCATCCATATAATATATATCTATACAGCACACTATAATCAACTCAAAGAACACAATGAATTAAGAAAAAAACGGTAATGAAGAAATTTGTAATTGAAGATTAGCGGACAATCTCACCCAGAGAAGCTGGACATGGATGACGAGGTGCTCACCCATCTCTCCGCAACCGAATTAGGAGAGTAGGGAGGGATGTTCTTCAGCAAACATGCTTCCTCTTTTTCCCTACTGCACCATCTACGTCCAAGCAACCCTCAGCCTCACAAGCAGCTTTCTCTATCTCTCTCAAAATCTCCAACACCTCTTTAATGCCAGGTCTCATCTCCCTCTCTGTCTGCAAGCACCGCAATGCCAGCCCTGCCACCTGAGTGATCATACCGTTTATATCGGAATCTGAATGGTAACCCAACCTTGGATCCACAAATTCATGCAACTCCTGCCTTTGTATCTTCTTTATTGCCATGTAGGCTAGACTGGCTTCATGCAACTCCCTGTTAATATCCACTGCGGGCATGGAAGATATGAGCTCCATCAAAACCACTCCAAAACTGTACACATCACTCTTGTCCGTGAGCTGAAAGAATTTGTGGTACTCTGGATCGACGTAGCCGGGCGTTCCCTGTGGAGCAGTTGACACGTGCGTGGCGTCGAGCGGGAAGAGTCTTGACAGACCGAAATCACCAACCTTGACATGGAAGTTGTTGTCAAGGAGGATGTTGTTGGTCTTGATGTCGCGGTGGATGATCTGTGGCTCGATGGAGTGGAGATAGTTGAGAGCATCGGCTGTTTCAATGGCAATGCGCATCCTTACTTTCCATGGGAGAAATGAACCGGATGCCCGAGAGCCGTGCAGGTGGTCGGCAACGGTGCCGTTGGGGATGAATTCGTATACTAGGAGGAGCTCGCGGCTATGGAGGGTGGTGCAGCCATAGAGGCTGATGAGATTCTGGTGGCGTAGCAGGGAGACAATCTTAACCTCATTCATAAATTGCTCGGCACGTCGGTAGTTGGTTTCATAGAGACGCTTCACTGCAACCACTCTGCCATCTTTCAGCTTGCCTAAAATCAAAATTGGAGCTGTTTAGGCAAAATGAGTTGGTTTTCTGAGAGGATTTGATCCAAGTTTTGGTTTTGAGAACATGAGCGAAGGTAAGTTACCTTTGTAAACAGTACCGAATCCGCCGTCGCCAACTTCTTCGGAGGCATTGAAGGCGTTGGTTGCTTTATAAAGCTCGTCATAGGTGAAAATGGGAGTGTAGAAGGAGGAGGCTAGCTCAGGGTCAGTTTTGGAGGACAGGGCAAAAGAGGTGCTTCGGTCAGAGAAGTTGGAGCGAGAGGACTGCTTCTTCTTCCAGCGTCTGTAGATGAGAAAGCAGAGGAAGCAGAACATGATGAAGCTAAATCCTCCGGCCATGCTCACACCTGTCAGGGAAGAATTATGATAAGCATCAATAGCTAATTAGATAGAGATTAAGGGGCTTTCTGCTACAAAGTTCATTGATTCGTTATGATTATTTAATTACAGAGGAAACAAGCACTAATTTTCTGTAATTACTTGCAGATTTAGTAATAAAATTAATCAATTACATTTGATATATATTTTATAAATAATTAATTGATATAGATTTTATAAATAATTAAGTCATGATTTGTTATTGTAAAGTAAAATTTCAATTAAAGTTTGATTATTTTAATAATATTCTTAGTTGATTTATAATTAGAATTAATGATAATTAACAAAAATTTAAATATTAATTAATTGTTAATTAGTTTTATAAATTTTTATAAATGAATAAGTATCCAAGTAGTAATTAATAGAGCTAGAAATAATATAAATTTAAATTAATCTTAAAAACTGCATTATTAATATATTATAGGAAAGATTTAAGTGCTATATATAGAAATTTAAATTACATTATATGAATATATGCAACACTTTTCATTCAACAAAATTCTGCTAAAAATGGTGAAACAATTTCCCAGGATTTATTTATTAACATACCAAACGACTTTCAAGTTTTAATCATCTCAGGTTATGATAAATTGGGATTTACAAGATTTACTAAATCCTATTTAAACATAATCTACTTGCAGCCAAACTGCCTCTTAATATGCAGCTCCAGACTTCTATGGTAAAAAAAGAGATTTATTGAAAACAATCATAAGTGGAAGATATAGAAAGGATTTGTAAAGCTTGATTCTTTCCGAACATAATTTGAGATATTAATTAAGAGAGTTATTTCTATAAATAATTTTTTTTTAGAATGCTTTTGTCATCTATTTTTTTATGTATTTTAGTAAATAGGGCCCAAGAGTTAATGAGGCTTGCTTATAGATACCAAAGCTATACAATAGGAAGGGAGATCTTTGTTGTTTAGATTGATGTTTCTTTAGTTTTAGGGAAGGATTCCCCATAATTGAATAGGTGGGGGAGAAATGTGTTCATGGTGATCCAAGTCTTCATCACAATCTATGTTGACACTTAGAAAACGATCAATGAAGGCTATCGATGGTGGTTTGCAATGAATTCTTGCTGCTCGAAGAACTGCCAAAGGTGGTAGAGAACTATAGATCAATAAATCACCCAGAGGCTTGTCTAAGGGGTGGTTTTAGGAGACATCTTTCAAATAGATGTAAAGGACATGATATTCTTTACATCTATTATCCCAGAGGCTTGTCTAAGGGGTGGTTTTAGGAGACAAGCTACTTGGATGGTTGGGAGATTTCACGTGAAAGGATGTAAAGAATTGAAGGATATAATTTGTAAATCTTTGAAATATAGCGTATGTTTTCAACTCTGGGAAAGTTACTTTTAGTATTATCATTCGCAGCTACCAAGTTTAGTAGTTTTCATTGTAAGAACTGAAACTTTTTTTTTTTTCTTTCCATGTAATCTCGTTCACACTGCTTACCTTATTCACAACTTTCCCTTTCTTCCCCAATCCGATGCTTTCCTTTCTTGCTTTCGATCGTTCTCCCACCGCCTCTTTTAGTTATTTACAGGAGACAAAAGTCTTGGGAATCACAACTCTCTCCCTATAACCAACCCTCCTGATTTCACACAAAACCATCGCCTTCATGATTGAACCCTTGCGATACAATCGTGATTAGAGCTAGCTGGGAAGGCAATGACAGGATCGTTGCGTATGAGACCACTGAAACTCATATTCTTCTTTTCCTTCTCTGAACTGTCGCGAGAAGTCAAAATCACAGCTAGCGATGAAAACAACAACAAGATCGTGGCATACAGAGCCCCACCAAAAGTTTTTATTTTCTTTCATGACGAATTTAATGTATAAGTAAACTTATTTTATTGCTACTTAGCCTCGTGTTTAATTGTTCACTTTTCATGATTTCAATTTTATTTCTTTTATATTTTTGATGTTGTAAATATCATTATTTCAGTTTCATAATTATTTATAAATAATAGTGAACATTTTGTAGTTATATTCGTGTAGTTTACTATAGAAGATATACATTTATTCTGAGGTTTGATAGAGAAGTACAGAGAGAGTAAGGAGGATCTACAAATGATTGTTATTGATTTAGAATAATACGATAAGGTTCCAAGAGAAGTCCTTTGGAGAGTTCGAGAAAAGAAATGAGCGGATATGACTTATATTCAAGTCGTTATAGATATATATACTAGAGTTGTTACATGTGTTTGATCAGGAGTTGGATTAACCAAGTATTTTCCTATTGCAGTGAGATAACATCAGAGATCGGCTTTAAGCCCATATCTTTTTTACTTAATTATGTATAATTTTAATGGAAATTTACAGGAGGATGTACCTTGGTGATGATAATTCAAGAAAAGCTTAAAAAAGAAGCAAAGCAACTCACTTCTGTAACTTAGTAGTAGAGGCTATGAAACAATGACTGTTTTAGAATTTCACAGTACCTAGACCAGAATTGCAACAAGAAATGCTTTTTGGACGACAAGAGAGCTTTTAATTAGGTTCTCTGTTGTTAAATCCTTTTCTTATTGCTCATGCTAAAGCAACAATCTATTGTGTCAATTCTTGCATTAAACTACGGTTTGCTGGAAGCTGACTAACCAGTGTCAAGTCGCCATGAAATGATAAATAGAAGTTCATTTTTGGGAATGAAGCTGGGAAAAGTTTTCAAGTTCGAGCATTATTGGTTAATACAGGGCAACAAAAGTCATGATAATGTTACAAGCAATGGTTTGATTTGAATTTAGAAAACATGGCTTCTGAGGAAAACATTTGGATAAGTGCTCTAATCCTTTCTTAAACGTTTTCCTGGGATTGGAACTAGTTATCCAAGTTCTGCATTTTGTATTTTAGAGGGAATACTGGTCAGAATTAGGAGGCGTATTTTTTCAAATATTAAGCATTCTTTCTTCTGTGTAAAATAATAAAAAAGAGCCTTTATGGGCGATCAACTTTTAAGAAAGAAATAGAGCATCAACATCGACTTCTTTTGATCACGTCTGCTTAAAAAACAAGATTTATAAGGAACAAAGAAGGCAAGAGAAATATGCTCCTCACCAATTATAAGACCGGTCTTTGAACTTTCCTCTGTTTCTTCAAACATGCAAGAAAAAAAAATAGAGGTGAGTTCTTAAAAAGGATAAGCAACACTAAATCTGAATTTATATCAAATAAATTTAATGCAGAAGCTAAGAAAAAGTATAAAATATCTACTCAATCATTCAATAATACAACAAATGATAAATAAAAACTTCAGACTTATCCTTTAAACAAAATAATACATACAAGCAGTAGTTATAATAATTTACATGATATGATAATTTAAATCTTTTAACTTCCCCAAAAAAGAGAAGGAACGTTTATGTTCAGTCCCCCCCC